ATCATTTTTTTTCCTAACCTATCCACTTTTTATTTAGTATTAATTTATTTAACAACACTTACCTGCCCATGTAATTGCAAAATTGTTAATGAAAATATAGGAATTATATTTGAATTTTAACCTAATTAATATTAATAAATTCTTACATGATGAAAAAAAAAAACAAATAAATTATGAATTAATCTTTTTATTAAAAAATTTCATTCAATACATTTATTTTTATTAAAAGTAAAAAAATGGAATAAAAGGTACAAAAACTACAATTTATAATTTTAATAATCTTCTTCCTCTTCATCGTCGTCTTCCGGCTGCTGGAAAATTTCAAACTGGTCTTCATTATCGTCTTCAACGACATTTCTCTCAAATTCTTCCATGATTTCGGGGTCAAAGGTTCCATCTTCGTTAATGTCGCTCTGATATGGTAGAGCATTGAAACAAGCTTGCCCATTACATTGGCCACAAGCTAAAGAGCATTGCAAGCCCGCTTTCCTGCATCAGCATCGCGAACCACAACCACTCTTGCAGTTGCAGAAAATTGTATTTAGCAAATCTTCTGGAGCAGGTGGTAAAATTGTCATGATAGGCTCCAGAAAATTGTTTCGCATTGCCCAACTCCATACCTGGGGTTCCAAATCATGCCTTAACCAAGTTTGAACTTAATAAACACGTTTGAAAGGTTGATGAGCAGCTGCTTTTGTTGGTGGAATATTTGAAAGCTGCACAGGTTAATTAAGTTTTGTAGACTTGATGTAATGCATATAACGAAGATGATCGAGACTTTTCACAGATTTCGGAGCATTATAGACTGCCAATAAGATTTGAGTTCCACTTTCTAATAATCTCTGGGCCGAACAATTTTCTTTCTCAAATGCTGCGCTAGTTCATTCAAATTTGTCAGTTTCTCAAAAACTTTAAAAAATTATTTTTTCCCTTTTTAAAAAGCGCAGAAGTTGTGTCACAGCCACTTAATGCGTGCAGAAATAAAATATGTGTTTTGGAATGAGGATAATTATCAAAACTTTTAGTCAAGTATACCCCCGTTTTTACGTTTCCTTTCCCAACTTTTTTAAAGAAAATGTCTTGTTCGTGAGACAGTGTACGCCCAATTAAAATGACAAGTAAATCAATATCTTGTCCTATTATAACTGCAGTTTTTTCAGAATTTGATTCTTCAATTGCAGTTTCAACAATAAGAACATCAGCATTATCTCTGGCTTGTTTAGTAGTAATATTTGCAGCTCGTAATTTTTCAATTAACATATTAATGAGCATATCTTTGTTATTTCGATTTGATAATAATTTTTCTTGAGTAACTGGTACAACTATTGTTTCATCTTCTCTGCTGCTCCATAGCTTTTACGTTCTTACTGTAATCTGAATTTTTTTAAACAAAATTTGTAGAGAATTTTGTATTCTACAATATTGATAATAAATACAAATAGCAAAAAACCCATAAAAAATGAGATATTTACAAAAAAGCGCAAAAAAACCGACTTACAGCTGGGTATCTCCAGTTCCGAGATTCTTACCTAATTTAAGCTTAAATGACTGGACTACATCTGCATCTACGTTTGTTTATCCGAGATGTAGCTGTCCAGATTACATTTTTTTCATCTCGATTTGAAATAGGTAAATGAGATGTTGTAGTGGGGGTTGTCAAACTTATTTTTTGTTAGATTCGCTCCATGCCAGAAAGTAGGTGTTCTGTGAAACCAGATGCCGATTCAGTTCAGTTGGTTTAGTCACAAGTTTCTTGATTTATCCTTTTTTTGTGCTAGCGTAAATATAAAAGTGATAAGTTTGTTTAATTTTTATATCAAGGTTGATTTCTAATCTCAAAAGTAAAATTTAAAAAGTATAAACTTCTAACTTGTCATTGTCATTTTATCACGTGACCAATAAAGTTTAGAGCGTTTGTGTATTACAGGTCTATTCTGGTTTTGAGAAATAACGATCCACAACTGTCGGGCTTATGGGCAGTCTTTGAATATAAAACCCACATGCTTTAATTTTCTTTTACTATACGGAGAATGGTCGCACTGCGCAGCTTTCTGAGTGCCTTTTAAAAGAAGATACAAAACTCCGCCATTTTGATGTTTTATTACGTGTTGCCTACATCTTGGCGCATTATTTTTAATATTTTGCTTCCTGCTGTCAGTGTCACAGAATATTATTTTTGGAGTCACAGTTTATTGCTCAACAATCAGTTAGCTCAGTCGGACCAGTTGAAAGTTACAAAATAACATTCACTCCAGGGATACAAATTCAGGATCCGCAGAAGACTGCTGTTTTATTATAGGCGGTTGTCACGTATTGTATTATCCGAGTTGTGGCTGCCGGGCCCCCACTTGAGCCCGAGCTCCGGGATTTAGCCCCGGCTACCCCCCTCCCTCTTGTCGGCCCTGATGGATTGACTTTGTAAACAAACTAGGATGGATGCTATTAGCTAGTAATGTTTTATGATCACATTTTAGCGATTAATGTTTTGATCAAACATCCCTGGTAAAAGTGAGTTTGTTTCCAACTTCTATTCCAACAGTAAGAGTGTATCGTTTAAAATTTGTAAGTATTTAGGCGTAAGGTTTAATTGTATTAAAAATACACAAAAACTTACCTATGTAAAATTGGACTTTATATCTAAGTAAATGTTAATTTTAACTAGGTGAGGACATTTAATCCAAGTCACACAAAAACTGTAAATAATGAAGATAAAAATATATTTTCGGTCCTTAAAAATAGTTATCAGTGGACCCCAGCTGTACCAGGACCATCTATAGTTATACCCTGGCTATGATCCCCACATCTATTCGGTTACGTACTCCTTTACCCTCTCCAGGCAAGTCATCTACATGTGAGACAACTGTGGATACATCCCGCAAAAGAATTTTTAAAAGGACTATTTGTGAATTGCTGCATAAGGATATTATAGAAAACGTTAAAATTAGAAAATTGCAAAAGAAAATTTGGAGACAGGAAAAACAAATTTCATCTTTAAAGTGCATAATAACAGATTTAAAAAAAAATAATTTAATGTTTAATTTTATTGCAACATTTTGGAGGAAACACCGAAATTATTAAAAGACTTCTTCAAAAAACTCAAAAAAAAAAGTAGGTAAATAGTTTTACCATTCAATAAGATCCAGTGTACTAACATTGCATTTATTCTCCCCAAAAGCATATAACTTTGTTAGAACTAAATTTAACAACTGCTTGCCTTATCCAAAAAAATTGGGTAAATGGTACTCTTCAGTTGATGTCCAGCCAGGATTTACTTCGGAAGCATTTAAGTTTTTAAAATTAAAAGTAAAGCATCCCAGTAAAACTTTGTATTGTTCGCTTGTGTTTGACGAAATTTCAATTAGAAATCATTTGGAATTTATTTGTTTCATAAACTTGTCTAAAATATTAAATAAAGATACTTACCTCTTGAATCAATTTTGTTTTACTATTTATTAACACACTGTACATGTATTGATAAAGAACGAGATAAGCAGAATTATTGATAGAGAATTACTTCTTTATAAAATCAATAATAAAGTTATTCCCCAGCTCCATTTAGGGACACTTTATATGTATATAAATTAGATCGTCATTTATTAAGTAATGGATTAATGTAAGAATTAAAAACTTTTGGAGGTTATTATTAATCGTTTTTAAAATTAAGTAAAATGGTTTTTTAATTCATAATAAAAGTCAAATAATAGGACTGTCAAAAAACGAAATACCCTTTCCATTAAGGTTCAATTCCAAACTACATTTTAATATCTAGAAAATAATTTAAGAAATTAAACTTCTACTACGAATTTCAAAATATATATGCTCAATTTTTTAATATTTTATTACTAAAATAGTTTTTATTTTTGTTTTTTTAATTTGGTAAAACATAAATACAAATTGTAGTGATACAAATTAGTAATTTTGGGGCATTTAGGACACATCAAAACCTGCAACTAGTCCCGGTCATTAAGTATTTTTAATAATAACATAAACGTTTATTCTATTAAGATGCGTTTGTCTTTAATTTTGAATAATAATTATCGCACGCCTCTGTCAAAACGGAAATGATCGTCCGCCATATTGAAGGGCCAACTCGTCAACTATTACTTTAAAATCAGCTCCTTTCTGAGGTTTTATATTCAAAGTGCGCAGTAGATAAAAAGTGTTCTGGTTTTTCTCGAAGTACTTCGGATCTCCCAGTACAGTGTTCTGGTTTCGTATCCGAAATAATCCATGACTGTTGTAAACAGTCAAAATGTGTTCATGCTTTGGAATGTAAATCGACTCGGACTGTTTTGACAGCTCATGCGTTTTTGAAGTATTATGAATATTCTATTAGCTTTTAAGACCATGCAGACGTTCTAGAACGTATACAATCCCAAATTGTTTATTTATGTGTGAACGAATGTCTCTTGTTCTTGTTTTATTTGTAAATTGAGGCAATTTTAGAATTATTAATTTTTTAATATTATTCTCCCGTATTTTTTTATTCCATTGAAATGTGATGAGGATAATAATGATGAACATATACATGCAAATGTAATATCAAGCTGAGCTTTAAAAAGGAACTGCATTATTATAATAAACAATAAACAAAACACATTTATGTGTTCTGGTTTTCCAACAATTTCAAACAGTCGGGGATTTTTTGCCTTTACGTACACGGTCCGGCGCAGTTTCAAAACCGTTTTCAATTTGAGAACCAGAACAAACCTTGCATCTACATTTAAATCTAATCCTCTATCACGTGATAAAAAATTTATAACATTTCAGTTGCATCCGATATGGATAATCAAACGTAGCAATAGTTACACCTTGTATAAATTTAGTGTCATTTTATAAAATAATTCTCTAATCGTAATATTTTTCTATTACAGTTTGATTTCGGACAACGTTATCTGGTATCGAAAGGAATTTCGAGCACCTATCGATTGGCGTAAGGACGAAAACACGGTCCCTTTCGTTCTACTCTAAATCTGAGTCGACCCCGAAGGGGTAAACCGTCATATTGGAGCAACAGTGGTGGCGTGAAGTTCAGGAGGTGATTCTCGATTCTGCACTTCAAATCGTTCACATGAAAGCCGACGAAGAGATGGGTCGTGACAAGCCATCTGGTGCACAGTCCAACCACACGCATCATTCAAGTGAGTATTTTCGTGTAAATTGTGGCTATGATAAGACATAAATGTCAGTCTCGAGGCGGGAGTTCTTGAGCGAAATTGGCTCGTTATTGTCTTAAACGAAATAGAAAGATTCTTAGGACTTCTTTTTAAGCCTTTATTTTCGCATTGTGTAATAAAAGAATATTTCCGAGTCGGAGGATTTTTATAATAACAGTAATGGCTCGTATAAATGTGAGAACAGTTATTAAAATGCGGGAAAACTTGAATTTTCAGTTTCGACAAAAATATTATTGAAAAATATACTCGGATAAAATTTATATTTCTTGCTACTTTTTCGGTCATAAATAACGATTTTTTTATGTTATTTTATCCATTTGAGATTTGATACAATTATAGTAAATTTTTTTGGGGGACAGAGAGTGGGAAAATTTCATGAAAAAAGATATTCTGATGGCATCGTGTGGGGTATCAAATGAAAGCTCTTTAAAGCACGATTTCTAAATAAGTATGCGTTCCGTTGCGTTTCTATTTAATTTTGACAAAATTTACTCTATGATAACATAAAACCACATTAAATAGTGAAAGAAGTATAATGTAAGAACAGGTCAACAATAATAAAAAAAATTTCTTTTACACAAAAAAGTTCTGAAATTTTTTGTGACCGCTGTCAACTAGATGTAATATAAACCGATTTTTCTAAGCCATTTGACAGACTTGATCAATTTTCCTTCTATAAAAATTGCCCTAATTTTTAAAATAGGTGCCACAAGCGAGCTTAGAGTTTGCTTATTAAGGCAGATGGAATTATTTTGTGACTTGGTCAACCTTCATAAATGTGGGCAAGTGATCAACCTCCATAAATGTGGGTAAGTGAATTTATTGCACCTGCAGACTTTAGAGACTAGAATCTAGAGTCCTAATAAATACTAAACCAGTCCTATAAAGCAAATTATATTTAGAGTTTTTCTTTATTTTTTGGCATCAACTACTAAGGTTATTAGCCTCGTGTTCTGTACAGGCTTTGTTTTAATAATAACAATAACTTTATTGGCACAAAATTTAAGTATAATAACAATAAAAAGCAATACATATATTGGCAATAAAGTTGGAAAAAAAAACGATTAGTACTTGTTTCGCTAATAAGACATAAAATATAATAATGACAATAATAGTAATACTGTTGGGTTCTAATTAACAGTGCTGTCCCTAAAGTGGCGCTGGAAAAAGTTACAAACTCTAGACAGAACACGAGGCTAATTGCCTAAATAGTTGACACCAATGATTCCAAATTAAAAAAATAATAATAATAACAATAACAACACTAACAATAGTAATAATAATATTCAGTACTGAATGTAAAATATAATATAATACACATATAAAATACAAAATTTATATAATATCTAAGATTAAATTTGGACAAGATATATAACGTTACAAAAAAAAAAAAAATAAATAAGTAAAAAAGAAAACTATGATTGAAAACAATAAATTCGTTTTTAGTTTAATTGAACATTGTTAACAAATCTTTTCGCCAACTTTAAAGAAGGTACTTTTTTAAGCCTGTCTTCATTTGAAATTCTCAGGAATAGAATTGTATAGTTTTGGAGCATAATAGTCGTAGGATCTTTGAGTTACTGTTTTGAATATCAATGAAACCGTACAATAGTGTTTTTTGACGAGTTTCGTATTGATGAGATGAAAGCAGTGTTAATGTTTGGCAGTGCCAGTTTAGGAGCAACACTATTAATTAAAAGCCAACAGTGAATGGTAGAGTAAGGAATCCTACCTATGCATTAGAATTATTATTTAGTTTATTAAATTAAATTATGGTTAGATGGTTACCGGGTGGATACATAACGTGCTCTCAAAGCGAGCAATAAATATAAGTGTAGAAGATGTGAATATAAGAGGCTTGGTTGCGAGGGAATGTCCACAGGGAGGGGTGATATCACCTCTACTGTGGAACATGGTCCTCGACATCCTCATTAGCTGCCTTAATAATGACTGTCACTACACAATAGTATATGCAGATGACCTGGTCATTCTGCAAACAGGAAATTTTGAGAACATACTCTACGAAAGAATGCAAGTAGCTCTCAGAATTATAGAACAGTGGTATAAGGACCATTCACTGTCTATCATTCCTTAGAAGACTGAAATGGTCCTTTTTACAAAGTGTCGTGGGGTTAACCCACCCTACATACGTTACAGATGCAGAGGGATAAATAAAAATTCCTGCCAACGGTGGGATTTGATCCTGAGACATTTCGATTTCAAAGTCATGACTCTAACCACTGAGTCAACCCACCTCCTGAAAATTATTTTATTTGTCTACTGTTTTTTTTTTATACAAATCATTGCCTGTGGCGGTATTTGCCAAGGAAGTAGCTGTTTTCTGAAGCCAGTGATCGCTCGTATTATGTGAGATTGACTTGAGATTTATTTCTATTTTATTTTACGTCTTGATCACACTTAAATTATTTTTTTTTTCTTTTTATAAATGACTCGCCTGACTTTTTATCTTACCTAGTTTTTAAACTAGATAATACTAGCGAGTTAATAAAATTTGAACTTGGTATTTATTGATGAATCCCTATAAGGACGAAACCGATCCAATAATGACTTTCTTCTTAGTAAGCAAAATCAAAAAGAGAGTGTTAAGAATTATTTTCTATCTCTATTGTTTTCATTTAGTTTTAACTCAATACCTGTTGAGGTATTAGCCAGAGGAATAGTTATTTTTCTCAGGAAAATGGTCTCTCGTATTATGTGACATTATCTTCGAGAATAAGCTCTATTTTATTTAATGTTACTTTATTTTAACATAACAAAGATACATGTTTAAGAAAAAAGTATACAAGCCACTTGGTATATGCACTACGAGTGCACGGCAATTTCTATACATTGTGTAGAACGCCAACGTCTACTTAACTATTACATCTCCTGCCTTATATTACTTATTTTTATTAATTATCAAGTTTCAAGCAAAAGTTTAGTAATTTAGTAATTCATGAACTGCGGTGGGATATTGTTCTTCCTATTCAATGCAAGACAATATTTTAGTTAATTCCTCCGACTACAGAACTAAAAATTATCTGCAAAAACATAAAATTAATTAAAATGACAAATTACTAAACGTAATGAATATAGGGTTCAAAATATATTCCATCTTTTGCTAAACAATAGCCAAATATCTGATACATACTCTCAAATCTCTAAGCTGTTTTGGTGTAATATTTCTATAGTGGTATAATATCTCCTAATTATTAATGATATTAATAATTTTTTTATTTAGCATATATAAAATATAAATATAAATTTCATAACTTTTAGAAGAATATCAGTGATGAAGATTAGTAGATCTCTCCCCAAAAAAATAAAAGATTTGGTGCAAGGTTTATGGGCATATAAAGCCATTTTATTGTACCATAAGTGCTTATCAAGCATTCTGAAAATATTAATTGCAGACACCAGAAATCCTCGAAATTAACATTAGGTAGAAGTGAGGCTGCAGGAATAACTTGATTTTGAATAAAATATCAATATTTGTGAAAGTTAAATTTGCCGTCAATAAAAAGGGCCTATAATGTAGTCCCCTAAAATACCAGTCAGAAGATTTAATTTTTCAGGGTACCGTGTGCTTGTTGGAATAAATAAATGTTTATTTTTCCAAGACCAATATGTCATAACAGATAGATTTGTGTTTGTTGTGGAATGAAAAAGTTGACTTGTCAGTAAATAAAATGTGTTTTTAAAGATTTTGATTCTGCCGATTCGTCATAATTTCGCGATACTCCATCCATCAAAAATTGTCTTCAGTAAAAATTTATTGGATTTGCTAAACAATAATTCAACTACAAAGTAATACCGATAATGGAAGAAAAAGTTCGGCTTCCCTTTGAAGATGCTTCAAAAAAAAGTTCACTAAATAATATGCATTTAGGGTGAGTATATAAATATTCAATTTTATTATAAAATTTTAGTTTGTTTCATCTTAGTTTATTTTTATTTTTTTTTTATTTTAATTGCTACCGATTATATCTATAGTTTCTTTTAAAATCTATTTCGCAATAATAGTTTTAAAGTTTTTATAATAAATTTTTGATTTTAGTTCTTTTAATCCGACGTATGAATAACTGCGTTGCGAGAGGGTTGTTCTACATTTAGGTAAGATAATCTTATTGTTTAGATGAAATATTGCGTTATATTGGCGGCACACAATATTTATTTCCTTTGTATCTACAAGTTGAATCAAAGCTTGTTTATAATACAATTTTCTTATAGTTAATAAGTTACTGTAAGTGAAAAGTGCTTCAGTGGGAAATCGTAGATTTAATTTAAATATTAGTTTAATCAGACGTTTTTGAATTACCACTAAAGGTTGCAAAGTAGTAGTGTAAGCTCCTCCCTATCCAATTATCCCGTAATTTAATATAGATTGAACTAGGGCGTAGTAAAGTGAAATAAGATCACGCTCACTAAGTATTTTTGAGGTTAACTTAAACATATATAATAGTGATCTCATTCTTTTTATCAGATTATTAATATGTATATTCCATTTTAGATTTGAATATATGGTTACTCCTAAATATTTGGCACTACATGACACAGGTAAAGACCAGGATGTACTACGGAATGGTAGATCAATTTTTAAAGGATTTAAATTAGCTAAGACATTTTTAAAATTATAAAATGGTAGATACACTGTCTTGTCTAAATTAATTGTTAAAAGATTTTCATCAAACCAGTGTGTTATTTTTTGTAAATCTCGTTTTAGGCTAGTTTCCACTTCCAACCAATCGTTTCCTTTAACAAAGAGAGAGCAGTATCATCAGCAAATGAGATTATGTTGCCATCCGTTTTTAAGGTAAGTAAATCGTTTAAATATAATATAAATATTATGGGCCCTAATACTGTACCTTGAGGCACTCCATAGATAACTTCTTGTGGTGCACTTCTATTTCCATTAACTTCAACTATTTGTTGTCTGTTGGTTAAGTAGCTTTTAAGGAGTAAATGGGCTTTACCTCTAAATCCCATAGCATAGAGCTTTGATAACAGTTTTTGATGGCTGACTGTGTCGAAAGCTTTTGCTAGATCTACAAATA